TTTTTACACCTCCCTTTCTTCATGTGTTCAATATTTTTTCCCTGTGCCATTTTACATTATTACAAATAACTTAATTTCTGGATACTCATGGTTTGATTTTTTTGTATGTATGGATCACTTGGGTTGTTACCAACATCTGGTGAAAATTTCATGTCATTAGCACCTCTAGTAATATATTTACTGAGAAAAATGTTGACGTGTTCAATACTTATTTTACCCGCTGTAAACCAGCAGAAGGTTTACTGACTCCACCTGAGAGGAGCTGTGTGTCGGTGGATGCTAGCTTTAGCTAAAGTTAGCTGGAGCAGAGCGGAGAGGAGAGAGGAGCAGAGAGGTGCAGCAGGTGACGAGATTAAAGTGATGACTTTTATAAGCGTGTCCCGGGAGATAACATCAATCAACAGGTGTGTGTTTACTGGTGCTAACAGACACACATTAACACTGAAACAGCTATATTTGTCTGAACAAAACAAAAGTAAATTAAAGCTGTGTCTCAGATTTTTTTCATTGTTTTTCCACTAAACTCTCAGGGAGGGCATTCTCTATGAAGAAGTCAGTTTATGTTTGTAGATAAATATGAGCTAATTTAAATCCTACACTGTATTAAAGCATTAAAGGCTTTTGGGAATTTGAGCTAAATTATTTATTTGGGATCAGACTTTATGTAAATGTAATGCATGATCACATGAAATTTTGATTTGGTTTGTTTATAGTTAGTTTTTATTATTTTCAATTATAGTTTTTAATTGAACGTATTTTTAGCTACAAGAAAGTTTATAAATTGGGATTTTTTTTTGCAGTTTTGATAAATTTAAAGGTGATATTTGAAAGTTATTGCAGGTAACCCTCTGCTCAGTATGAAAAAATTGAAAACTTAATTTTTTTTAAAGAAGTTGATTGATTGTCGTTCTTTAGCTGGTATTGTCAATGTAAACGCAGATAAAAGATGGTGATTGTGAGGGTAAAACTGTGTCTGGTGGTGGTGATAACACAGCTGGACTGTTCATTCTCATGTTCAACAAAAGTTTTAATACATGTTTAAAAACGGACACACACACACACACACACACACACACACGTTATTCAGAGGATGGTTGTGTGACATCAGGGTATTTTGGTTCTGAGTTCCTGGGACATGCGAGAGCAGACGACCTGTTGCTGATAGCACTGCTCTTCATACACATAATGAAAACAAATAATTGTATATAAATCAATGTTTCATTAATGCAAAGAAATAACTACCGTATGTATCCAGKAACTGTAATAATAGGTTTAAGTGGTTGCCGCTACAGTTGCAACTTGAAGTCGTGCTGGTATTAAAAAACATTGGGATGGTATTTAAACGGTATTTAAAAGGTATTAAATTTAACTTCAGAATTTCTGTATATACCCTGACTGAGGGCAAAAGGTCCGTGTGCTTTTTGGTAATTTATTTCTTCATTATAGTGAAAATCAAGAACTGATGGTTCTTCATTTTTCATTTTCTACTCCATTAACTGACAAATGGTCTGTTTTTTTCTTTTTTTAATATCTGTTTAAAGACAAAATTACCAAAACAAACACAGACCATAAAAGTCATCAATTCTTTTCAGTTCAGAATTAGTTATTTGTTTATTTTGATGAAAGRACTCAGCTTTTTCCATCAAGAAAAGTTCTAAAACTGTTAACTTCTGGTTTCTGACACTAACTCAGTTTTTCTGACCAAGCAGGCTTCGGTGCTCCTGCTCCCGCTCCAGCCCAGGCCAGCAGCTTCAGCTTTGCTGCTCCATCATCCTCCTCATCTCCTTCAGCTGGTTTTGGTAGCGCTTTAGCAGCTCCGACACAACCTCCGTCCAGCTTTGGATCGTCCTCAGCGCTCTCGGCTTCCACCTTTTCCTTCGCCGCTCCAAACGCCGACAAGCCTGCCGCCTCTTCGGGATTCGGCTCGGCCTCGGCGTTCAGCTTCTCATCCACGGCAAACACCGGCGGAGGGTTCGGGACTGGTTTCGGCACCGGAGCTCCCGGAACAGCAGGCGGCAGCAGTGTTTTGGGGCAAACTGGATTCGGGACAGCGAGTTCTACACCTTCAGCTGTAGCCGGGTCTGTGGGGGGGCCGTCGGACAGTCTGTTTTCAACCGAGAGCAAACTTACCGAAGAAGAACTGAATCAGTTTAAGGCTAAAAGATTCACTTTAGGCCAAATTCCATTAAAGCCTCCGCCAGCTAATATGCTGGTGTTATGATACAGTGGGAAAGATTTGTGAGCTTTATTTTTCTGCAGTGTGTTTCATCTTGCCAGTGACATTTTCAACTAAAACTATGATCAATTTCAAAACAGTACTGGAAGTGCAAAAAAATCTGCTTTGTTGTAGTTTAAAATGTTATAGAAGCAACAGATATATATTATGTTCAATTGTTTAAATCACAGAACACATTTTAAAAGCTATATTTTGTTACATAAATACTGTTTTTGTTATGATTTAGCTTATCCAAACAAGTAATTAAAAGCAGCCAGCCTGCATCATTTGTTTAAAAATAGAGCTGCAGTTGTAGTCTTTAGCCAGCAGAGGGTGCTGTAATACCCTATGTCTAGACAATTGCTCAACCTTTAAAGCTCATGTAAATAATAATAAAATGCGACTGAGGTTTTGTCATCCCAGTATTCTTCACATATTCATGCTTGTAAGAAATTATCCAATAAACGCAGCAAACCTGCTTTGAATAAACTGTATTTATTAGCTGAGCACCAGATGGACACCGAGAGTAAAGGCAGTGACAGAGGCRGCAATAAGCAGTTTCACCATGGAGGCTGCTGACTCCAGCATCTTTTCAGCTGACGGGGACTTTGTGATGTTGCTGCGAGGTGAAAGGGAGCCAGAGCAGAGCGGACCGCCTCACCAGGTCCGGTGCAACAAACAGACAACTACAAAAGATGCATCTAAAAAGTGGTTAGAGAACATTAGCTGTGAGCCTTTTCTCTGCTCGCTCCATCAGCAGCAGTCCCCCCCCTTCCCCCTCCTCGCTGGCCTTTGTGAGCAGATAATGCATAAATAATTCAACAGATTAAACAAACTCTGGTGAAAAGGCGCTTTCATTTCACCGAAACTTGTGTGTTCGTGTAATACACGCATGAAAGAAAAGATCAGAGTGGTCAAAGAGTTGGTTAGTTTTTATGTTTGTGCGAAACCTGCGGTTTAAATTGAGTTGTCGTCTTTTCCCAGCTCCTTTAAAGCGCAGCTCTGTGGAGAGGTTTTGAATAATTAATATCTTACTTGTCTTAGATTGTAGCTGTCGTAGTTTTTCGTGCAGCCTTAGAGAAATGGGGTTTAATTCAAACCTGACTGATGAGCTACASACCAGTCAGAGCAAGCAGCTCCAATCTGAAATACTAGTAGGTCATGTAAATTCTGTTTTGAACACCTCTACTGTAACTTTTATATATTTTAGCAGGAATATTGCGAATTATTTGACAGAACTTCAAAAAAACGACCAAACTATGACCCTTAAGACAACTCAGATTGGATTTAGCCTCACTCAGACTAGCTGTTGGCTCATTAATCTGGTTAAATTTAAAATCTAAAGTGAGGACCTTCAAACAGCTGTCTAAATCTCGAAGAGAAAAGCTCAGTGGTGTTACAGCAGTGGTCCCTACATCAGCTGTTGGCAGAAATAAGGGGCTAATAAAGCGGCTCCGAAGCGCCTCTGCAGAATGCTAATAATGAAGCGATTCGGATTCAGAGCCGCTGTTATTAATGTTCAGCGGGAGCTGACTCCAGTAGAGCCTCCTTACCTCCCCCCACCAGCGCAGAACAAGTCGTACTTATTGGAGCAATGAATCCTGGGGTGGAATTGATTGTGTTCAGCCAGAACACTTTGCCTATGGGAAACGGTGCATTGATCTCAGAGGCTGTGATTTATGCCTGTTGGAGTGTTTCTCCCTCATGGGTGACTTGAGTCTTGTATATTTCTCCTGCACAGGCCCAGGTTTCTGTCTTTCAGAGCTTTAGTGACGGCACAACACAGAGGTAACTGTTATGAACCGATCTGTCTGTATTTGAGAAACAAGCAGTGGAGCTCACAGTAGGTGACCTGAACCAGACGTATTATATCATCTTTGTCCCTTTTTTACCTGGATGATCAGGACATGTCAGAGGCTTATTTGGCACATTTGCTCGCAGACGGTCACTTATTTAGATGCTGAACTCTCAGTGACTCGAGACAACCACGCCCCGACCACACAACAGACTGATATCACACATTAATGCAATGTTTCTTTCCAATTACGGCTGGAATTGAACAGTATCTTTGAAAGGTATAAACAAGTGGGTTATTTCCTCCCTCTTTTTCACTCTGATCACAGTGTTCCCCATAAAAATACTTTCAGGTACAGCGGGTAAAATAAGTATTGAACACGGCACCATTTTTCTCAGTAAATATATTACTAGAGGTGCTAATGACATGAAATTTTCACCAG